ACGTGCTGACATAATTATTTTTATTATAATGTCCTGAAATGTATCCAAATCCAAACTAGGTTCAGTTTTAACTCCTGAAGCTTACAATTTCTCTAAAACAAACTACAATACCAATAAAGTTTAAATTATTATATGAAGTTTAAAGTATTCACAAGATAAATGGTGGTGTTTTGGTGAAACTAAGTTCTCTTTTATGGATCTGACTACTAAGATGCAAGCTCTATTGATTTAACAGTCTCTATTGTTGTATGTTATGGGTTGATTCAATTCTCTTCCTTTTCACATTCAAGCCCTTGGAAAGTTTTCCTATAGTTTGCTGAGGAGGTCCATTGGCCTTCTCTTGGTTTAATAAATAAATAATTTGCCTTTTTCCTTTTCTAATAATCTGAGAGAATTAAATTTATTTCTATACAAACACCAATTAGTGCAATGGAACCAAGAGACAAAATCCATTTATAGCATGGTCATTCATGAGGATTCTGATGATCTAAAATGTCTGTTTTAGCCTAGTTTAGAAAGTAGAGCCTGAAGCAAAAACTGTGATAACACCTTTTGGGGCTTGTTATCTCAGGGAAGCAGGAGAGAGGAGAGAAAAAATGAGGGAGATGGAGAGAGGACAAAAAGAAGAGAGTATGTAACCCAGAAGATCATAGTATGTCTTCAGAGGGACCTTTTAAAATGACTGTGTCTCCTAAAAGTCCACAGGGCAGAGAAGGGAGAATAAATTATTCGTGGCTGTGGTCTCATATTGGTCAAAGTTACCAGCATAGGGCATCACACAAGTTCCTGCATAGCCACTTGTACAGCAGTCTCCTGCCTCAGCTATAATGGAGGAGCCCTGGAGTATATAACCTCTTTCAGATGTTCATTTCACCAGTTACCAGTGTAATAAAGATATTTGAAATTTCCAGGAAAAGTTCTAAAATTTTTTCTTAATTTAAAAAATATATATTTTATTGATTATGCTATTACAGTTGTCCCATTTTTTTCTCCCCTTTATTCCCCCCCACCCTGCACTGCCCCTCACCCCAGCATTCCCTACCCTTAGTTCCTGTCCATGGCTCATACAGATAAGTTCTTTGGCTTCTCCATTTCCTATACTATTCATAACTTCCCCCCTGCCTATTTTATACCTACTATTTATGCTGCTTATTCCCTGTACTTTTCCCCCATTCTTCTCCCTCCCCTTTGATTTCCATTTCTATGATTCTGTTCCTGTTCTAGTTGTTTGCTTAGTTTGTTTTTGTTTTTGTTTTCTTTAGAGTCAGTTGTTGATAGTTGTGAGTTTGTTGTCATTTTACTGTTCATAGTTTTTGATCTCCTTCTTTTTCTTAGATAAGTCCCTTTAACATTTCATGTAATAAGGGCTTGGTGATGATGAACTCCTTTAACTGACCTTATCTGGGAAGCACTTTATCTACCCTTCCATTCTAAATGACAGTTTTGCTGGATACAGTAAACTTCTGTGTAGGTCCTTGCCTTCCATGACTTTGAATACCTCTTGCCAGCTCCTTCTTGCCTGTAAAGTTCCTTTTGAGAAATCAGCTGATAGTCTGATGGCCACTCCTTTGCAGGTAACTGTCTCCTTTCCTCTTGCTGCTTTTAAGATTCTCTCCTTATCTTTTGGATAATGTAATTATGATGTGCCTTGGTGTGTGCTTCCTTAGGCCCAACTTCTTTGGGACTCTCTGAGCTTCCTGGATCTCCTGGAAGTCTATTTCCTTGATCAGACTGGGGAAGTTCTCCTTCATTATTTTTTTAAATAAGTTTTCATTTTCTTGCTCTTCCTCTTCTCCTTCTGGCACCCCTGTGATTTGGATGTCGGAATGTTTAAAGTTGTCCCAGAGGTTCCTAAGCCTCTCCTTGTATTTTTGAATTCTTGTTCCTTCATTCTGTTCAGGTTGAATGTTTATCTCTTCCTTCTGCTCCCAGTCATCGATTTGAGTCCCAGTTTCCTTCCCTTCATTTTTCTTTATTTCACTTTGCATAGCCTTCGCTTTTTCCTCCATTTTGTGACCATACTCAACCAATTCAGCGAGTATTCTGATTACCAGTGTTTTGAACTGTGCATCTGATAGGTTGGCTATCTGTTCATTGTTTAGCTCTATTTCTGGAGTTTTGATCTGTCCTTTCATTTGGGCCATATTTCTTTGCCTAGGCACACCTGTTATGTTGTAAGGGACGGAGTCTTAGGTATTCACCAGGATGGGGCAACCCACCTCGCTGTGTTGTGGCGCTGTAAGTGGGGGAGGGGTCCAAGAGGGAACAGTGCCGCTTGCTCAGCTCTCTGCTGGCTTTCAGTCACTTCCCCCATTACCCACGAGCAAATTGGGCCCTTCTGGTGCTGATTCCTGTGTGGGTGGGTCTGTATATGTTCTAGGACTCCATGGGTCTAACAGACTCTCCTGTGAAGCTGGGAGTTTTTCCTGTTGCTGCAACCCTTGCAAGTTTTTACAGCCAAAGGTTTTGAGGCTTTCTTTTCCCCCGCTGGAGCCCTGGATTGTGCAGTCTGTCTCGCTCCCCAGCTATTCCTCCCGGTTTATCCGTATGGAAATGTAGGACTTCCCAGTCTTCCAGCTGCTGCCTTGCCCACCTGGTCCTCTAGCTGCTGCCTTGCTATGCGTCCCCTCCACCCCGGCTGCCCATACCTGCTCCCTCTACTGGTCTGGATGAATGTTTATTCTTTAGCTCCTTGATTGTCAGATTTTCATACAGTTTGATTTTCTGGAAGTTCTTGTTATTTTTTTGTTTTTAAATTTGTTGTCCATGTTTTGGTTGTGCGAGGAGGCAAACTGTATCTACCTACGCCTCCGTCTTGTAAAATTTTTAAATAGTGGTCAAAGAAACCATATTTTTAATATGTGCAACCCTGAAGTGGCCATCACTAGTTTAAAATCCTACAAAAGCTCTTGCCAATATGCTAGGATGACATATACAAATACAAGAACCATAAGAGCAACATTGTAAAAGCAAAAACTCAAAATGCTCAAAGATCTATCATCAGAATATATTTCTTACAGTGGAATATTATACAGCAGTGCAAATATTCTAGAGCTACACACATCAACCCTGACGAGTGTCACAAACAAAAAATTAAGCAAAGGAGAAAACTGAAATCAGAATAATGCCATTTATGACATGTGAAGCACTACTATATGTTCAGGTATTTATACATATGTAGTAAAAGTATAAAGACATGAAGAAGGATGTCCAAATTTATGATAAACTCTTAATTTAAAATCCTGGAGAGGGAGAAAGGTATACATGGGTTCCAAATGTATTTGTAATGTTTTATATTTTAAAGATTTTATTTATTTATTTTTTTAGAGAGAGGGGAAGGGAGAAAGAGAAGGAGAGAAACACCTCTGTGCGAAAGATAGGATTCGTTGCCTCCTGCACGCCCCACAACTCCATGAATTGAACCTGTTACCTTTCAGTTTGCAGGCCAGCACTAAAGCCACTGAGCCACACCAGCCAGGGCCTAATGTTTTATATTTTAAACTGACCTGTGGGTTCATGGGTATGGTGTTATTCTTTATACTTTTATGATAACATATTTTATGAAGTATTTTTAAGCAAGATTTAAAAAGTTAGCTTTACTTAATTAGAAACTGTGTTCAGAATATTATTGTTTTGTTTGAAATTTGATCTGTAAACAATAATCTTTCATGCCCAGAATACCACACAAATTGAGGTGTTTGGTTGGTGAAATCCCAGACATTGGAATAATAATGCTTAATTTTAAAGTGTATTTTTGCTTACATTTTTGACAAGAGACTATAAAGCACAGTTGGGGAAACTGGGATATGCATCACTTCAATAGTTATACTGCCTAGGTCATTGCAAAAATTAGGCTATCTCAAACTATGGACCACATGTGCATATCTTATATACAGCAATATTTGATTAATAGCATGTTTCCCTTATTTAATGGACCTAATATATTTCAGACTCAACAGTGAAGTGAACAGTGTTTGCCTTATCTGTGAACAAAACAGTAGAATAATAATGAAGATAGCGTACATTTATTGACCTATGTACCAGGCACTGGGTAGAACATGCTGTACATGATTATCTCATGTAATTTTCACACTGCCCCTTGGATATCATCCTAATTTTATAAGAAACTGAGGTAATATGCCCAAGACTGCCTAACTAGTGAGCAGTGGAGCAAAAATTTGAAAATAGGCAGTCTGGATTGAGAAATACTGCATTATGTTACCTCTCTATGAATTACAGTCATAGTAACATAACAAAACTTCAAGGCCAGCCCCATTTTCAAGTATTTTGCACCATCGTCCTATGTATATATCCAAGGGTTTCATGCCATTTTTCTGATTTGGGGGTTTAGTAAATGTAATCACCACAGATCCTACGGAAAAGTAGCCAGGAGACCTGATCTCGTCCTTACATGCCACTAGATTGGTTTCTTCACATGAGAACACTAGGTAATATTCCCTTTTCATTTTTTTATTTTAGAGAGACAGAAACATCGATTTGTTGTCCCACTTATGTCTTCATTGGTTGATTCTTGTATGTGCCCTGACCAGGGATTGAACCCACAACCTTGGCATGTAATAATTATCCTCTAACCAACTGAGATACCCGGCCAGGGCTAGACGATATTCCTTGAGGTCCTTTTCTACTTCAAGAGAGAAAAATAATATTTTAACAAGTTCCCACAATAAAAATTCAATAGAGAGAGGAAAAGACTTAAAAGTAAATGAGCCTTGTGTTTTAATTAATTTTGGTATTTTAAATTTTTTAATAAAAAGAATTAGGTCTGTAGCCATAGAAAAAATACCTAACTTCCCCTAAAATACTCATGAACAAGTTAATCAAATAGCTTTATATAAGAAAACTAAAAAGTCAAAACGGTTTATCCTAAATTGCTATGTACATACTATTCTCTTTTTTCTTTAATTTTTAGAAAACTGGGCATAAAACAATACCTAAACCTGCTTCTTGACATGGCATCAGAGCAGAGCTATTGCTGAGAGTTTGATTTATAGAGAAATCATGGTTCGACTGACCTTGGATCTAGTTGCCAAAAACAGTAACCTTAAACCCAGAAAAGAAGACACCACTTTACAATACCTGAAGAAAATAACACATATAAATTTTTCAGACAGAAATATAGATGCAATTGTAAGAATTCTGAAATTATTTTGTTTTTATATCATTAGCAATGTAAAGTTTAGATATGGTGTCAATGCATACCTTATTATTAACTATATTTTGATTATACTTATTAACTATATTTTCATTAGTCAGTTTTATATTGTGTTATTATTTAGTTTCCTGCTTGTGATGTTAAACTTATTAAAATTGTTTCTATAAAATATACCATTGTGATTGTTAAATATACGTTCCCCTAAAATACTCTACAGTGTAGCAAACTATTGGACTGGCCAAAAAATCTGTTTAGTTTTTCCTGTAAAATAAAAGACACATTTTCATTTTTACCAATAACTCTACTGATTTGGATATTTTGAGTATGTCAGCTATCTCCTGCATGGTATAACATTGATTTTTCTCAATGTCTCGATTTGATCGCTATCAACTTCAACTGGTCTACTAGACCATGGAGCATCATCCAGTGAGAAATCTCCAGCACAAAACTTTACAAACCACTTTTGACATTTTCCATCAGTCACAGCACCTTCTCCATACACTGCAAAAAGGTGGGGGGGGGGGGGTTGCGTTTTAGTTGCATTTTTACCTTTCTTGAAATAATAAAGCATGTTATGCTGAAAATGTTGCATATTTTCTTCCATCTTCAATATTAAAATGGCTACATAAAAATTCACCAATTTCTGTTTTATTTTATTTTATTTTTAAAATCATGTTTATTCTATTACAGTTGTCTCAATTTTTCCTCCTTTGCCCTCCTCCACCCATCCCCAATCCCCACTCCCACAGTCAATTCCCACATTGTTGTCCATGTCCATGGGTCATTCATACATGTTCTTTGTCTAGTGCCTTCCCCTTCTTTCCACCATTGTCCTCCTTCTCCATTCCCTCTGGTCACTTTCAATCTGCTCCATGTTTCCCTACCTGTGGTTCATTTTGTTCATTACTTTATTTTGTTGATGATAAGTTGTTTTTTTAATGAATGCTTATATGACAGCTATCACAGTACAATCTAACAAAGTTGTTTAAAATGAAATGAAAGACAACTAAGCGTTACTAGTGCCATTTTATGGAAAAAAACCAAACTGACTTTTTGGCCAACTCAATAGATTTGAAAGCATTTGTTGGAAAGTAATTTCAAAGATAATTACTCATATAAAATTCCAGACTTTGGAATATGAATTTCTAACATATCAAAACATTAAGAATTAACTATGTGATTACCATATTTCAAAACTTTAACAGGGAAATCTTTTTCTCACATAATTTAATGTTTGTATAAGTGTAGGTTATACTCTCTCAGTTACATCAGCCAAGGTTGATTGCTTGTATATCCTCTGAAACTACATTTTCTCTGTGTTAAGCCAATTCTTGGCTTTAATTTGGGAAACTTTAACAGCAGCAATAGCCCATTTTAAGCCACTTGTATTGGTATCCATTGTCTGTAATAAAATGCTGAAGACTATAGATGAGAGGAAATTTCTTGGAAACATATAAGCTACATGAAGAAAGCGATCATGTCTACTTTGTTTGCATCTCTTTAAATCCCCCATCCAATACTGTGCCTGATATTTATTAAATGCTTAATAAATATTTATTGAATGAATGAACAAAAAATGGCAAAGCCCTAGGCAAAATTGTTGATTAAGACAATTGAAGTATTTTTTCAGAAATCTACCCAGCTCCCAGTCTATATCCCTTACCAGTTTCTTGATGATCCTTTTCCCATGAATCCAACTTCCCAAGCCTTCATGTTTCTCTTCCTGCCCAAAGCTCTCTACCTCATCATACAGGCAGGCTGCTTTCTCCAGAGCTTCCCTCCCTTTAAATTTCTTTGGCCCCTCACTATCAATGCTCCTTCAGTGTGGATGACCTTTGTGAGGAGGAAAACAAATTGGCGTAAAATAATTTACACTAAGATAAGAATAACTTGTAAACTTAAAGTTCTCAAAATGTGGTTGTATTTTAGAAGATCTTACTTGGTGAAAGCTGAAATGTTTTTGAGCAAAACTTCATTCCCTCTTGCCTACTTCGTTTAGGCTGACTCTACCAGCACATAAGAAATAACGGTCTTTTAAAATGCCTTTAATTATTTTTCTTATCTCAAAAGCAATTGGTGTTGATTTATATAAAATGCATATAAAAAGACTTTGTAATTCTACCATGCAGAGGAAACCACTATTAACATTTAGATAATGTCCTTCCAGTCTTTTTTCTAGGCATATATTCATATAATTTTATAATAATGGGTCATTGAATGTACTGTTCTCATTTTATTATGAAAACTACAAGATATTAATAAAACTAAAGGATATTTAATGGTCATATGGTATTCCCTTTAATACCATTATCATAGCTTCTTTATTAACCCATTTTTGTTGAATATCTACATGTCTTCCAGTGTTCAGTGTTATAAATCGTAACAGTTAACTTCCAGTCCTACAGAAAGACTAAGAAAACCTGATCTGTAATATTGGAGCAATAATTTGTTAAATGCTTCATCTTCCAAAGAAGACTAATTGTTTCCAAGAAAAGCTGCTTGCACTGGGAAAGTCTTTCTTAACAAATACAATTTTATTGACATAGTTACGGAATGCCAAAACCTAGAACTAATTTCGTAATTATTCTAGTGTTGCTTTGACTGTGCTAAGAATAAAGAAATAGTGTTCTTTTATATTAAACCTGAATGGAAATTACAGAATGATTAAGTGATACATTTTGTTAAAAACAAATTTTCAGAAGAAATTAAGTGTGACCTGTTTTTGTTTTCCTTTTAGGAAGATCTCTCTCTTTGCAAAAATCTTAGTGTTTTATATTTGTATGATAATCGTATTAGTCAAATAAATAACTTGGATTTTGCCACCAATCTGACTCACCTGTACCTACAAAACAATTGTATTTCATGTATAGAGAACCTCGGGTCATTAAAAAAACTGGAAAAACTGTAAGTGCTTTTTTAAATTAATGTTACTGTTCATCCTCATTACAGTAATATTTTTGCATGCAGGTATTTCCATTATCTGTAGTTTTGTGGAACAGGCCACAATTTTTATTCTCTTTTAATATAATTAGTACAAAATAAATTGTTTCCTAGGTAATACCAGACCATTTGTGTTTCAGTAAGCCCGGTATACTTTTCTTTTGCAGGTGGTTGAGTCGTCTTATAGGAATACCCAAAAACACCCTTATGGAGGCTCAAATGGTGAAAAAAGTTTCCATGGAACTCAAATGAGTTCTGTGCCTTTCAGAATCACCTATCTCAAGAGGGCAGAGTCATAGAATTGATAATGCTGATGTAGATTTGATTGTAAAAAGGCATTTACTGTACCTTTAATAATTTTAATTAAACAATGAAGGCTAGTAGATCCAATTTCCCCAGATTGAAAGAACTGTCAGTGCTTCTCAAAAAGTGGGCCAGGGGCCTTGGAACGGGGAGATAGAAGTCAGGTGGGAAATGCTGGGTTCCTTAGGTAGCCAACTCAGAATTTCTGAGGAGTAGGCCCAGAAATCCTCATTTGTGAACCTACAACCTAGGTGATTCTTCTGCACCGTATCTATGAGAAGCACTGGCAGATAGTTTAATAAAGACTATTCCAATTCTCTCACTTAAAAAAAGTAAATTTACTTTCTAAACTAAATTATAAGAATCATACCGATGAATCTTTCACCGATTCACTATAAAGAGAACATTCTGTATGTATAATTTTCACACAGCTCAGTGATTTTGTTATTATGTTTTTATCATGTTTACAGACCAGGATGTTTACAGAATGTCTATTTAAAATTATGTCTAATATTTTGCAGGTATCTGGGAGGCAATTACATTGCTGTTATAGAAGGTTTAGAAGGATTAGAAGGACTAAGAGAGCTTCATGTTGAGAGTCAGAGGCTTCCCCTTGGAGAAAAGCTTCTGTTTGATCCAAGAACTCTTCATTCTCTGGCAGTAAGACTATATTGGTGTATTCTAACAAAGCATGTAGAGATTAACAGTTATAGCGGAACAAGAAGGTGGTGAAGGGCTATTTGGACATTGTACATACTCTGAATAATTACAGGCCAACTGAGAGTTTATTTGAGGGCTAAAACTAATTTTTCTCACGTAATTCCTCAGAGACTCAGCAGCTATAAAGTGGAGATAACACCTGCCTCTAAGGCTACTGAAAGGATAGAAAGAAGAATGTTAAAAGGTTATGTAAAGTATAAAGTTCTAACAGATGTTAATTCACTCATAATTTAGACCTTGGTGATTATCATGACACAAAAAGCCTAAGGAAACAGGAGTGCACGTTAGGCAAATTTTAAACAACATAGAGAATTATTACAATAAGTCGTTTTCTTGCTGGATTCTGATTTGATTGTAGGTTATGCTATCTATATGGCTCTGACTCATCAGAAGCAGGTAGGTTGGGAGCCCTGGGTTTGATGCTCCAACTGTCACCTGATATCACAGGGAGGTGTCACAGTGAGTTGAAAAGGCAGAGGGCGCCACGGAGGCTTTCACTAATTCTCAAAGCAAGATTTGTTAGAGATAAGCTACCTTCATTCTGGGCAAGGGTCAGAAATAGAACATAGTTATTGTATTTATAGATTTCGTTGACTTTATTTTTGAGGGCCCAGAAATGGCGGGCAGAATAAGGTTTCTGGACCAAATATATATCAGTTAAGAGATAGTGCTTTAAACTGGAAAAGAAAGAAGTGATTTACCATATTTTGCATACTGCACACCCATGTTTTTGGCCCAAACTTTCAGGAAAAAAAAACCTTTCATTTTATTTTTTAAACTCAATTATGTATTTATTTATATTTAGATACTTGTTTTTTGTATTATAAAGGAATTTTAGCATTTATTTTTGAACATATTATGGTAAAAGAAATTTTATGTTACAAATAATTATCAAACACAAGGACAGATACAAAGTATTTCAGGTACTGCCCATGTATAATGTGCATCCTTATTTTTCCCTCCAAAATTTGGGCAAAAGGTGTGCATTAAACATTGCAAAATAGAGTAGTTTCTATCCCACCCCTTCTGTCCTCTTCATAAAATCAGCTGTGTCTCAGCTCAACCTCAACCAATTCAAGCAGATTGACCCCACTGTAGGGATGGTTAGTTTTACTATAAAACTCCACTGAAAATGTCTTTGATTACTCAGTTTTTGCATAGTTTCAAGCAGATTCTGAAATTCTAAATATAAGGCATAATTTTTAAAGCTGTATTTCAAGTCTTAAAAGGTGTCAGGAAGTATCATCTCTATGTTAGCTATGTGTGGATGCCTGGGTGAGAAGACTCAATCTTGGTAGACTCCTGGGCCTTAGATTTTAAGATGGCTTTGATTTAGTACTGCCCTATTGTATATTTATGTCCTCATTAACAGCTGATGTTGAAATTCTTGTAGTTATTTATTATTCTAAGTGCTTCTGAAGATAAAACTGTACAGAGAGATAAAGATAAAAATAAAAACCAGATATTCTTTAATTCTTGGTCAATGTTTTCTATTTAGAAAAACAAAAACAAAAACTATTTCTTCCTGTGTAAGTTTAAATGTTAGTGACTTTTAACACAAAATGATAATTTGCTTAAACTAAAGTATATTTTCTACATTGTTATCATTTGTCAATTGGGTCATCTTTTTTCTTCCTTTGCTTCTTGATTCTTAGCTTCTTTTTTAATATTTTTTTATATCTTGACCAAGCTTATGAAAAATAGTAAGTTATATCATAATTACTATAGTTCGACACATTCCATCTGAAAAAAAAATATGACATAGAAACAAAATCTCCATGGATTTTTATTTTCTTGCCTAAAGAGCAAAACAGTCTGAACTGATAAATCTTAAAATTTTCATGGATTAAGATTTCTAGTTCCTATACCTAGCATTTAAATAGGCTATTTACTAATACGAATCTAATTATTTTCTTACAGAAATCCCTCTCTATATTGAATATCAGCAATAATAATATCGATGACATAAGAGACTTAGAAATACTGGAGAATCTTAATCAGCTCATAGCAGTTGACAACCAACTTCTGCATGTGAAGGTAGTATAAAGAAAAATTAATTTAAAAATATTTACATGAAATTGTGATTGAAATGACTATAAAATATATTACTTTAAAAACTTCTAGATTTGTTCTAAAACTAGCTTACGAAGCTCTACTTCTTAATGTATTTATTTGCATAATTCTGCCCCCTTATCTAGTTTTTCTTCTGTACCCGATGCCTCCATCCTTCACCAACAGAAAAAAAAAATGTTTCTCTGAGAAGGAAGTCATGATTTTTATTTTCCATCAAATGTTTTCCTCTAAAGACTAGATTTCTTGCCCCTCACCTCTGCTCTCCCAATGAATAAGTTTCTAGTAACTGTGACTAGACTTGAACTCTCTCCTGGCAACTCCTTCTTGGTGAGCACCTGGATACTGACCTTATTTTATTTTGCACTACCTATATTCATGTCATGTTATATCGTATCATGCCATATTCATTCAATTATTCATTCATTCAAATATGTATTGATCACCTACAGATTTGTCAGGCACTGTACTACTCTGTGTAGAACAGAGGAAGGAAGGATACAATCCCAGGGACCAAAAAACACCTAGTAACCAGACTATAATGTGATTCTGCTTTCGTAAGTACTGTGGTAGCACTAACCGCCTGGAGCTAAGGAAGGCTTCCTGGAAACAGTCTCTGTGAACTGAGCCATTACCATGACTTCACAGTTTTTAGCTTGGTAATGGGGTGGGCTGTAGTATAATTTCTTCACATGGAACCATAGAGGAAAGGATGGGCTTATATTTCTTCCATAAACACTCTTGTTTTCAAAATTACTTCCAGACAGCTTTCTGCTGACCCTAAAATTCAAACCTATTACTTTGTGCATCCTGTAACCACTGTTAGGAGTAGATAACTATGAAAATAAGCATTAATACCTTCTACTATAAAGGAATTCCTCAAAATACCCAAAATGCCATTGAACAATCACAGTAGACAAAAAAGACCAATAAGAAAGCATGACTCAATTGTTTCAACTTAAAACGTAAAGGATTCAAGGAGTTTATGGAATAAATTCTGCAATGAAAAATATTTTAAATTTTAGAGAGCTCTTCTAAATTTCTTAAATTGGGCATTTTGTATTCACCGGTATTATTTAGTTTTCCTATGATTTTACAGTATTTTTACCAATAATATGATTTTGTGATAGATGAGTCATCTTATATCAGATATATTATCTGATATTAGGATACATGTGATCCTACTCCAAGTGACAGAGCCTGGAGTTTAGGTCTTTGATTAAGTCGAGAAGACCTAAGCTGTGCACAATGTTCCACATTCACCCCATTGGAAATGGAAACAGAATAGCAAAGTACAGAAGCTCACCTTTTCTAGGGAGAGAATGGTAGAGAATTTCAGTCTCCCAAATTGGCATCAATCTTAAGTAAAGGATAAGTATTTTCCCTAAATGTTTTTGTAAGCCCAGGTTCTAAGCACAATGCTTGGCAAATAAGTGTTCAGTAGTAAGTGGTAAATATATGAATATATCTTGAAATATCTGGCTAATTATTAATTATAATAATTATCAAGATTCATTTCAGTTATTGCCATTACTTTTAAAGTCTTATTCTATTATGCTTTTAACTCAACAGAAGAGTTAGATAACAGGATAAAAATACTAGCCTCCAAATAATCCCAAAGGAAATTTTTCTGAGTGACATTAAAACCAAGCTATTTTGCCTACAATGATTATTCTTAGGCCATGTTAATTAAGCATAACTGGGATATGTAACCAAAATAAATACCTTCATTATTGCTGATTATTTAGTCTAACGATCAATGTCTAAGTAACCAAATCTTTATTATTAAGACTTAACTATATTTGAGCTCCCTTGTATAGCTTTCTCTGAACCTCCTCATTAAATGTCCTATTCAAAAATATTTATTATATTATGTATGCCAGACACTGTTCTAGAACCTTGGAGAAACAAGTTATAGGCACTGAGGATACAAAAATAAATAGAACAAGATATCTGTCCTCAAGGAGCTTACATTACAGTGAGACAGGAGAGGGGAACAGTCAGGAAAAAATAAACAGTGAAGATTGTGAAAAGTGTTATGAAGGAATTAAATAGGATGACATAATGGAACAATCAGGTTATCGAGAAAGGCCTCTGAGCAAATGATACTTGTGCTGAGATCTAAAGGATAAGAAAGAAGAAATCTGTGCAGAGCTAGGGAAAAGAATATGCCAGGCATGGGGAACAAAAGATGAGTCCAAAGAAAGCATGAAGTGTCCAAGGATCAAAAAAGAGGCCAGTTTACTGTGATAGCAACCCCAGTGCCTAGCTCAGTTTCTGAAATGTCGTAGGTGCTCAGTAAGTAATTGTTGAATAAATAGAGTCAACAGTACAACAAAAAGTTATAAAGGAAGGTATAGGAGCCAGATCATAAAGGTCTTTTGAGGAGTAGTATGAGAAGATGGTTGCTTGGAGATGAAAAGGAGTGAATGGATTGCAGGTTGTAGGTTGAACCCACAGAACTTGCTTGAGTAGGATGTGTAGGGATATTGAAAAGAGAAGAATCAAGGATGACTCCTAGCTTTGTGTGTGAGGACCTGGGGAGAGAGTGGTAGCCTTTACAAGCTGGGGAATACAGGGAAGGAATAAAATAATTCCTTCTATTGAAATATCTATTGGATATTGAAGTGGATATGTCAGGTACGCATGTGCAATTCAAAGGAGAGGTAAGATTGGAAAGTTTAGGAGTCAACAGCATTTATATATTTAGAATTTTTCAAATGGGTAAAAAAAAAGTAGAGATAATAAACGAGGCCAAGATCAAGCACAGAAATACTCCAGTATTTAGAGACCACTTAGATGAGGAGGTACCAGGAATCAATGATATAAGAAAAGACAAGAGAAAAAGGAACTTGAAGAAAAAGGGAAAGGCCACTTGCACTGAATGTTCTTGAGTGGTAGACATGAGGGCAAATAAGAGGTTAACAGAAATGCATTGGATTTAACAACAACCAGACTATGTCTGGTCAAAGAGTATGTATTATGTATGTTTCAGAATAGAGTGCCTTGGCAAGGATTTGCATTTTTTTTTCTACCCAAAGCCACATGAACAGATGAGAAACTTCTTTTCTTGTTATGGTTTGAGAAACTACAACATTATTTCATTAGAAATTTCCCCATACCTGAAATTTCAGTATATAAACTAAAAACAAAGAAAAGGGAAAATTAAAGGACTATGTAGATACAATTCCTTAACAACAAAGTTAAAGGGAACAGTTTTAACTTTTGAAGAAATTGAACCAGTGGTTCAAAAATTACAGCAGAGGGAAATGCTGAAAATGGGGATTTAGTGAAAGACAATACTAAAATGTTAGAGGGCTTATATTTTACTCCCTCTTATGACACAACCCAGGATTTACTCCTAAAAGTCTTCCCGTGTGGCTTAAAAACCTTGTGCAAGGGATTAAAGAAATCCTCTCTAGGTAAACTGACCAGCCCAAGAGAAAACATGTCCCAATTCAGACATTTAAGGGTTCCACTGGGAAAATACCAGCAGAATACCCAACTGCCCTACAATGAGACCAACCAGTTAGTAAGTGTGTCCTTCACACACAGGTCTCATTTACTTTCATGAAAGAACAGTTATCTCAGATCACTAAACATCTGAAAGCTTCTAAAATCACAGAAAGAAACAAAAAGAAAGAACTCTAAAGAAACAGATAATATGGAAACAGAGAAAAACAAAAACTTTAACAAATTCCACTATGATTAATTTCTTAAAAGAAATAAAAAAGGATTCTATACCCTTTAAATAAAAACTACTCCTTTTTTAAAAAAAGGGAAGGGAACATTAAGTGAATTAAAGGACTTTGAAATTTAAAATAAAGTTAAATATTCAATATAAAGCTTAAATGATAAAGCTGGTCAAGTTTCCCACAAGAACAAAAAGAGAAAGAATGTAAAATAAGCACATAATAAAGAAACATAGAACATTATTTCAGGATATCCAATATATAACTAATAAGAGTATAAGAATCAGGAAATAAGGAAATTATGCCTAAGATAATATAATGGGCCATGATGTATTAACCAAGACAAGAATCATCATCTCCCTCAAAAAATAGTAAATTAGACAAAGTATGTAAAATAATTTTTTCAGACGTTGTACAGGAATGTGATCCCTAAGAGAAAGAAAACAAACAAGGTGAGCTCTCTAATTATCCAGCTTTCTGCCTGAAAGCACTTTCCAAACCACAGTCCAGGGAGGGAAATAGCAAAGGAGAGCCATGAAAATGTAAATTGTAACTGAAGAAAAGTCAGCAAAAAAAAAAAAAAATCCAGAAATGACGTGACATAGAGGATGGGATTTGAAGACAAGACTTTTTAAAAACTATTATAAATATGCTCGAGAATGTAAAGAAAGCATGAACAAAACAAAAGATAAATTGAAAATATAGAAAAGGTAATTTCTAGAGCTGAAAAATATATCTAAAATTAAAAGTAGTTGGAGGGGGTTAAAAGATTAGACATTGCAAAAGATCGAAGAACTCAAAGACATAGCATTAAAATTATCAAAACTAAGATGCAGAAAGAAAAAAACACTAAAAAATGATCACAGCCTCAATGGCTTCTGGTGTATTACAAGCATTAAAACATGTTATGTAAATGCAGTCCTAGGAGTAGTAGGGACAGTGCTGGGGACTGAATATTTGTGTCCCTCCAAAATTCGTAGGTTGAAGCCTAATCCCCAATGTGATGAAATTTGGAGGTGGGACATTTGGGAGATAATTGGGTCATGAGGATCCTTATGAAACTAGAGCTCTATCTCTCTGTTAGCCATGTAAGGATATAATGAAAAGATAGGAATCTGTAAACCAGGGAGAGTGCTCCCACCAGACCACAATATCTACTAGCACTTTGATCTTAGACTTTCCAGCCTCCAGAACTCTAAGAAATAAATGTTTGTTTTCTAAGTCACCCAGTCTATGGTATTCTATTATGGCAACCCAAACTGACTAACACCTGGG